GACTTCCTGAGCAACAGTCACTCTTCTAGTAAATGTTAATTGTTTATCCAAAGTGGAACAACTTCAAAAGGAGAGGTTGAGGTCCTCCTGACTGCCTCCACCTTGGGCAAGGCAGTGATAGAAGAAGTGGACCAATTCCTTAACTGCTCCACCATTCAGTAAAGGTGACACTCAAAAACCTCTTAATTTGTTTCCCAAAAACCGGAAATATTTTGGGGTTTGGTCAGAAAAAAGCCCAGAAACCAGAATCTCCCTCAGTACCATCTGACTTGGATTTAGCCTTGCATTTTTCAGCTGCAGAGCAGCCCCGGTGTTGACCCAGGGGAAAGAGCCCTTTCCAGGCCCAACTCTCACTGATCACCCCAGCCTTGTAACTGCAACTACAGACCTGCCAGAGGAGTTGTGCTCTTGTTCAAAAATAAGCTGACTAGATACCACACAGAGACAATGTGATTTCTACAAGCACTGCCAAAAGCAGCCCCTCTGACAGTAGCCAGGAATGGCTCCTCTGTAACAGCCAGCCACCTGTCTTGGGCTTTGTCATGCTCAAGAACAGTAGTAAATCTGTTTTAATGGAACAGTATTTAAAACCATAAGTCAGCTAGTCACACTTACCTATATTCACTGGTCACAATCAGCTCTTAGCCAGTATGTTTCCAAATCTTATTTATGCTTGACATCAACTATTTCCCAGAGGATCAATTCCTGCTAGCAGGCTGAATGCTTGAAAGCAGTATTTTCCAGTCATTTTGAAATCAAGGAGTAATCTACCACTGTGGGGGAAGAGAGGCCACTATCCTAGTATTATTTTTTTGAAGTTGCATACTTTCTCTTGAGCATTGCCAGTGAGAAAAGCCATTTTCCCATTGCTATGACCAGAAGGCAGGGTGTTTTTTAGCCATCATGTCTCCTTTCCTCTTCCTATGTGTTACGAATCAATCAGGGCCTGCAAATCACAGGCTGCACAAGACTGCTGTATGGCAAATATTGCCTGTCATTGTTTACTTGCCCTTCTGTCTGGGGAAAGCAGATGTTTTGCTCAGTCTGCAATGGGACTGCACTGCTGATCCTTATTTACACCTCAAGAAGCAATGTACACACATGGAAAGAGGGATCTGCCTTGTCATGCACATAGTGGGTGGCAGAAGCCCCAGTGCTGAGGCATTTTCAAGACAGAGGAAATGCAGCTGAGCAGAGGGACAAGAAGGAAGCAAGAGTGACAGCCCCAGGAGCAAAGGACCTGGACCTGAGAGACACAGGCTACTGCCAGAGATCCCACAAGATGCTTGGCTTCCAACGCATAGGATGGTCTTGGAGTCCTGTTTTCTCCTACAGAGATCCCTTGTTGCCTCCTGCTACTGGCATGAGAAGGAAACTGGTTCTCTTAGCACACCAAGAAAATTCCTTTACACTTGGACATTACTTCTTGGTTTGTAACTCAAACTTTATGAGCTCAAAGGGGAAAACTGCATTGAAACAGTTGGGATAAGAGTGTGAGGATCACAGGTTCTAAGGAGCAGGCAATATAACCATGCAAACTGTTGGCAGATCAAGATGAAAAGCACTAGATGGATTGTTTTCCTGACACTGTGGAGCTCTTCCCTTTTCACTGAGCGGTGCCAACGTCAGCTGGGTGCTTTTCATTCCTTTCCAATTCAGACAACTCAACTGTGTGAGCCATCCAAGTGGATGGCTGAGCTAGATCAAATACAGGGCATGCTTTGCTAAATTAAATAAGAAGTTAGTAGAAAAAAAGATTACACCAAGCCCTAGGAATTGCCTGGCACATCTCTGCTAGACAGAAAGCAGCAGGAACTTCCACATGAATAATCCTCATGTTAGAAGGCCTGCCACTAGTTCTGAGTGAATTAAATCTGGGCAGCAGAAGCAGAGAAGATACACCAGATTGAAGTATCTTGAGACTTCATGTCTTCCTAGAAAAAAAATTCATTCCTTTAGTTATTTCTTCTTAAGGGAAAGATAGATGGGCTTAAAATGAAGGGGGCGTTTTTAAAATCTTGCTGGACATGAACAGGCACAAAATAGCTCCAATGTGGAGCAGAACCACAGAATACTTGAGGTTGAAAGGGGCCTCTGGAACCCTCCTGCTCAAGCAGAGCCACATGGGGCTAGCTGCCCATGACCATGTACAGATGACTTTTGAGCATCTCCAAAGATGGAGATCCACATCTCTAAGCACCCTGTGCCAGTGTTTGTGAGCAAGAAAAAAAAAAAAAAGCCAAAACAAAAACAACCTAAAACCCCTTTTTTTCTTGATGTTCAAGGAACATTCTGCTGAGGTTTATTTGAGAACTAAAAATGCTAGCAGTAAGAATGACGTACCATTGTGAATTTCCTTGAATATCCCTGGATTTCAGAGCCAATCTTGGAACACTTGCACAAGTTGCCTAGAAACCACCAGTCCAGCCACACCACCAAGTGTAGGCTGGGCCTGTATGGTACAGCAGATATTTTAATTTATCTATTATAAACGCATACTACCTGTCACCAAATCATATGAATGAGAACAGAAATTATACCCATACCCCAAATATACGTCATTATAGCCATGTCCTATTATCATGTATGCAGAAAACCACATTTTACATATAGTCATATGTATATGAGACATACAGACATTGACATGCATCCTTCTCTACCTCTCTCAACCACATTGGAAACCATGGCAGTTAGTTCCACCAAAGCAAGAAACCTCTCTTACAGGAAATGGAGCAGACTTAGTAGTCTGGCTTTCAGGCCCTTCTATAAAATTACACATAAATTACACAAAAAAAATCTCTTCATGGTTGAAGAAAGGAGTTATATTTGTAATTGCAAGAGATTGAACTGCTGTAAAAAAAAAGAAAGATCAAATCAAATCTAAAGCATCATAGTAAAGTGAATATAATGTATTTATGACACCCCAGGAAACCTGTTATTACAATGAAGAAAAATAAAAACATTCCAGGTTCCTTGCAAGCCAACTGCTAAAATCATTAAAGCTTCCTGGAACAATAGTGTATTCCCTCATGCCTTAGCTAGACCTGTCAACAACAGGAACCCTGAGAAATCTGCCATGCTTGCTGGTTACTGCTCTCCTCCTTGTGGTTGTTCAATCATGTCATGATGCTCATCTCAAGGGCAGAGCACAGCTGTCTGACTTCCTCTGGAGCCTACCAGGACCATTCCTGGAATGACCCCACAGCTGCAGGGGGGCAAACCAGCCGATGTGCTATAGGAGAAGGCTACCTGGGACATCTGGGACTCTCCACAGGACTTGGTCATCCCACCCTGCCTCCTCCTTCTCCTGAGACATACCCATTTCTTCTCTTCCTCAATATCCCCTCCTCCCTCTTCTGGAGCACCCTTTGCATTTATTTATTGTCACTGCATTTCCTGCACAGCTTGCATCTCCTTTATCTCCTGTTCATTCATAACAGCCCAATCACCTCCCCCAGAGAGGAGCAGCCCTGCTCAGAGGGAATGGAGCAGCACAAGCAAACTGGGCACAGCTGGCTCATCTTCAGCTGCTGTCAGTCAGCACTCCCAGGCGCTTCTCAGCTGCGCACCTTTCCACCCACTCTGCCCCAGCCTGTAGTACTGCCTGGGGTTGTTGGGACCCAAGGGCCGGATGCAGCACTTGACGTTTTCGAACCTCATAAAATTGTCCTCATTGATCCAGCCTGTCCAGTTCCCTCTGCAGAGCCTTCCTGCCTTCCCAGCAGATCAGCACACCTGCTCAACTTTGGGTCATCCGTGAACTGACTGAAGGGACACTTGATCCCCTCTTCTCTCAACCAGTCTCCTAAACAGGCCAAAGTCTGCCCTCTAGAAGTCCAGGACAGAATTTCTGCTGAGGCCCTTCTTGCTTCTCTGTGGATCAAAACTCTATCATTTTGTTATTGCTGTGCTCAAGAGGCCTCCAAACACTACAAGTTCTTCACTATTCACAAACATCAAGTCCAGTGAGTACCCCCCCTAGCTGGCTCCTTCACCAGCTGTGTCAGGAGTTGTCAGCCACACACTCCAGGAACCTTCCTAGGCTGTGTCCTCTGCTGTGTTGTATTTCCAGCAGACTTCTGGTCAGCTGAAGTCCCTCCCAGGGGCCGGTGACTGGGAGACTTCTCCCAGCTGCTTGTGAAATATTTCAGCTACCTCTTTGCCACACAGACTCCCACCAGGATACCTGCCTTGTTGCCTTCTGATTCTAACCCATAAACACTCAACTCTATCCTCACCATCATTAAGCTCTAGACAAGCAACTCTCCCTAACTGGAGAGGGCTACCTCTCCCTAACTTATAGGGCTACCCTGTTGTCATTACATTGCAAGAGTTTTACATTGAGAGAGTTTTGTACCTCCCTGATGTTTATTGTAGGCAGCTCCTCCAGGCACTAAGTCATCCTCACAGCAGCCAACTGACTCCAGTTCCCCTCACACAACCAATCCACTCTTTTATAACACTCTTCTTATTTGCTACAGCTGTGGCCTGTTAACATCAGGCCTGCTCCTAATCCTTAATGATTGGCTCAGCTGCAACTCTTTAGGGGGTAAGATTACCTTCTATACTGCCTTTATTTACCTATGTTCTATCCCCCTACACTACCCCATCATCTCCCCTTCTTTACCTGCCCCTTCTGAAGTGTTTCTAGCTATCCATTGCAGCATTCCACTTGGAGGAGCCTTCCCCTAATGTCTCTGTGATGGTAACTGTATTAGTTTTCCTGCTCCTTCTGTGCGCTGCCCTCTGTGTGCACTGTAGATCTACCTCAGCTGGGCTTTTGATCCCACCCACCATCTTTTTGGAAGGAAGCAGCCCTAATTCCCAATGACCTACATTACAGTTGTTAGTAAACAATCAATCACAGGGATAGTGCATTGCTTTTGGGGTAAAGCTACTCCCTGTATTACTTTTTTTCTCTGCTTAGGGGGGAAAAGCAATCATAACTAGCTTTTCCATAGGCCTCATGGTTATTTAACTGATACTAAGCGGATGAGGACACAGTGGTGATGCATTATCATTCTGAAGCACAAGCCATGGATGAAGCTATGAAAGAACAGTGATTCCAACATTGCAAACACCATTTGGAATAGCTTGGATCCATGGCTAAATTTAAGCTTAAAAGACAACTCTTACCTCTACAGTGAGCTAAGCCACATGAAGACAAGGGAATCTTTATTCTTGGAACAACAACTGCTGAACCAGACTAAGACACTCGGAGGTAAAATACTGTCATCTGCATAATTTTTTGCTTTTCAGACTTCCTCCCAGATCATCTGGTTCTAGAGAATAAAAAAGGCTGCATACAGCTTTGCCTGTCCATAGTGGAACAATGAAAAGGTCCTAGAAATGAGGGCTCTTGTCCAATGGTTTGAAAACCTAGCAGCAATGCCTGAGCAAATTTGCCTTGTAATCCATTTCAATTGTTTGGCTTTGCTCAAATAATTTTGAAGGATAAGAACCAAATTTTTGGTTACATTTTTGTAATATTACAAATCAAGTAGTTACATAAGTGTAGAGTGAAAAAACACTAGAAATTATGTGCCATTTGAGAATTTACAGATCTTTAGTTTTTCTGTCAGGATAGGATCATGTTTTTATGAAAGCTCTTCACAGTCTAAGCACTTAGATTATATACATAATTAAAGCTGTAGTACATCTGTATTGACCGTAAGCAACCACAGCGTGCAAGCAAAGTGCAAACATATGGTAAGAGACAGAATAGAAAAAGAAAGAAAATCTTCTGCTACAAATAAGAAACTTGTTGCAGGAAAACACTTAACCTGTCCACCAACAAAGCCCTTTAGAATGTGCTACATACAGAACCATATCGAACCAGAGCTACAGACACACACCTCCTTTCACAGGCAGATATAAAATTCTTTACTTATTACTTCCAGACAGGTTTTAGACACTGACAGGCAAAGCACCACTGGGTTGTTTGGACATCTAAAAGAAGAGCACGTTGCTGTCACCTGAGTGGCTCAGTTCAGCTCTGCTCACCCAGGCAGCCCAGGAAAAAGCAGCTCTTTCTTTCTCTCATTCAGAAATCTCTACTCAAAATTTCTGCAACACAAAGAACTAAGATCCAACCTGCAAAAACAGGAGCAAAAAGAAACTGTTTCCATGAAGCCTTAGCAGGATCTACAGTCACAGCTGGTAAAGACTTTTGCTAATGGGAAACAGCAGAGGGAACTGATTTAACAAGTAAATTAAGTATTTTCTACACCTTGTATATGCAGGTCTCTTACCCTCAGGCATACTGTCAATGAATGCAACTGCAGCTCCCTCATCACAGCCCTGCATTCAATACCACTTTTGTCAGGGGAAAAGTGTCAGGGCTTTCAGGCAAACTGTAATAGCAGGCCATTGCTTGCAGGCCCTGAGTCTAATTATTGGCAAAACAGCACTTGAAGATTTAGCTTTAGTTTGCACTGTGCTTGTTCTCTGGCCATTAGCAAGTATTTAAATAGAATTAATTGGCTACTTGCAAGGTCATCTCAGTAATTTTTGAGACAAAGCCTAGTGAGTTCTCACACATGCAGGGTTAGTGGTACACAGAGCCCAACCTGCCAGCAATGAAGTGTGCAGTACACAGCCTCAGTGACACAGCTAACTATTTCAGTCCTCAGATTAGTGACCCTTTTTCTATGCAGAACTACACATAGGCAGAACCTGTGTATAGTTATCCCAACCCCTCTATATTTAGGGCTCAAACCATTGAGAGAAATGGTAACAAGAATGAGCAAGGTGAGGGAAGGCTGGAGAGAAAGGAATTTAATTTTGCCAATAGCGACAAACTGATCTCTTTCCCCCCTCCACCCAAACCCACGCATTTACCTTTGAAGGTACGCATGGTTCAGCAACATAGCCATATCCTAAGAGATTCCCTTTTAAAATCACTCGAATAGTCCCATTCTAAGGGCAGCATTTCCGTCAGGTACATGCTTCTTTGTCAGGAGAGAGCTTAAACTCCATGTTTCTTTTGTGGTTAGCAGCTGCATTAAACAATTAAATTAGCAATGTATATTTTACAATTAGGAATCTATTGTGCTTCAGCCAGTTCTTAATTAAGAGCCAATGTGCAGTTTGATTGTATAGTTTGCATAATTAACACAGCACAGATTTAAATCCTATCTTTGCTCAGGAAGTTGCAACAGCCTGCAAATCAACAGCTATCTACTGTAGATCATGAGCTTCTCAAACCATTTATTAAATTGTTGGCAGAAAATTTACCAAAAAAAGACAGGGGAAAAAATCATGAAAAAACCCCCAAGAATAGGCATGGAAGTCTTATAAATGTTCACACAGTTCTAATAATACTACAGCAAAATGACAGATGTGACATATTTAAACTGAATTCTGAACACCAAATTGTTTGTGTGTGTCCTAGGAGATAAGCTGTAGCTTGAAGTAGCTGACTCAAAATGGATAATCAGAGTTATGATATATTGACAATTAGAACTAAGAAAAAAAGCCATGCCTTATTGCTGACATGCTTTTTTTTCAGAACTAGAATAGGCATTAGAGTTTCATGTTAAAACTGGATTGGTACATTAAAAGTAGTGTACTATGGGAAAATTGCTCTAACTGTACCTGTAGTAGGCTCTGAAATAGCCATTACCATGCAGAAAACAGATGTCAGTATTACTGGGAAAATGTCAACATGCTGCTCTGGAGACACTGTATGAAATATCAGAAATGATTTAAAGAAGAAAATGTTTTCTCACTGCATCCATCTGTGGATACATTCAGATATTTTTTTTTCCCTGAAGGCAATAATAGAACTGCAGAAGATCAAGACAACACAGGACATGCAATGAAGATCTATCAAATCATTAAATACACAGAGAAAATAAACAGGGAATGATCATTTCCTTGATACAGAAGAAACAGGTAGTTAATCAGGTTATCAAGCAGCAGGCTTAAAACCAACAAAAGAAAATACATTTTCAACCTTTGCTAAAGGTCCAAAGTACATCTTGATCAAAACCTAAACTGATCAGAGCTACAGAGCATTATTCTTGTATCTATTCTAAACATAGTAGCTTATATTCAAATTATGGTTCACAATTTCCAAACCTGTAAAGGTTCTTAAAGGTGCCTTCAGGCACTCTGCAAAATTTCATTTATCTCTTCCCCTGATTTTTATTACTGCCCATTTCTGAATATGGGGTATCTGGCTATATGGACCACTATGGAGAGCTCTTGTGCACTAATTAGCCCTGCTGTAGGCATAGCTCAGCTATAAACAACATTCTTAGCAGTAGAACTTACCCTGGGGTGGAGAAGAAAAAGAAGCCAGGTTAATGTAAGGACCCTGAAGCTGCATCTTCAGCAGAGTGCCTCTCATAACAGTGCTGGTGAAAGTATTTTGTAAGCTATTTCATAAGCTTTGTCGATGTTCCCATGATCATGGAGAATATGAGAAAGATACAAGTTGATTTGTGCTGGCACCAGGACATTCAGAGACCTACAAGTCTGTACTTGGCTTAATATAGAGTTCACCCAAAATCAGAACAGAGACAGCATTATGTACTTCTAATTGGTCATAAGCAACATTTCATATGTGGAACTCAGCATTCCCAAACTGTTTGATCAGACTTTAAAAGAGATGAGGCTGAAATAAAAATCCACTGAATCCATTTGTTCTGCAGAAAAAGGCAGTAAATTATCTTAATTAATGTTGTCATTGTGAGTTCTTTGCCGAAGTCCCTTAAATAAGTAAGCAATTTAGCTAGTTCCCAAAATCAGGGATGATTTCACACGAGAATCAGAACTGAAAAGTTCCATCACCAAAATCTGTGTTGTCATAACCTGCTATCACAACAGTCTGGTTTTGTCTGCAAGCTCCCTGTGCAACTGGGTGTTTGCACATGCATGTGTGAGAGAAATGACTGATCTGGAGCTTGCACGTGTGCCTTGTTCTCCAGGAAATTTACGTCAAAATAGGAGACTTCCGTGGGGAACTCTCCAGGATTATTTGAAAGGAAAACTAAAGAGCCTCTCTCGAGACCTTTTATGAAGTCCTTCATTTAAAATATCTTATTTGGTTATCAGTAGATAACCAAAAGATCTTTTAAGATGACATGGCTTCATCTGAAAGAGCTTGGTAATCAAAGGAATAAAACACAGATTTTTCATTTAATTAGTTCTGTCAGCTGCAAACAGATTCCACATCTGGTTGGTTTTCAAAAACAAGCACAGCAACAAAATGCGAAAAACAATGTATCAATTTAAAAATACCAAGAAACAAGGTAAGGAGCACTTGAGTGCTAAGCACTGCCATATGCAATATGGTGTGGGGGTTTACAGAGATTTACATGGCATCTGCTGGTCTCAGGAGTGCAATATCAAGGAAAGGTTGTCTGAGTGCTGCCTGGTACAGAAGGCAGCAGTCAGAGGCTGTGTTCTCAGGCATTCTCATGACTACTGTCCTGACCTCATTCTTTTGGCTTTCTTAATTTTACAAGTTTTTGCATTTGGTGGGCTAGCAGAAAACAAATATCATTGGAAATCCTTGTGAAAAGTTGTACCAGAGGTGCTTCCCCATCCTAGAGAGCAAGACCTAGGCTCTGAAGGAGAAAGGAAGCTTGAGCAGCTTTGAGATAAATTAGAGCCCAAGAAGGAAAAATATATGGGGTTTTTTAGGTAAGCCTTTCTTTTTGAAATGTTTTATTTCTTAAAAAAAAAAAATCTTCCCACCTTCCTCCTTATAGAGGAGGAAATAAAAAATGGCAGTACAATTTCCATATAGACAATGAGAAAAATGCAGTGATGCTGCTGTATTTAGAGTGAGTGGAGGAGATAGCCCACACTTCAAGTACAACAGAGGAAGGCACCACCACATCCACCACATGCACATGCAGATGGTAAATACAGTAATGGTGAGGTGGAATTGGATACAGGCCAGTGCCTCCTACAGGTGTCACTCAGACATCCCCTCTCCCAGCATGACTCCTGGCATGGCCTAGCCCTCACTGGGGACTTTTCCCCTGGGATCCATGGGTTTCATCCCCCTGCTGCTGCTGTACTGCAAAGGAGACTTTGCTGCTTGTGCCATGCCAGGGCATTTCATTTCCTGACCTCTTGGTTCATAGAACTGTTCCCACCAACCTTAAACAAGACTGATTCTGTATTCAGTGCATAGCTATGAAAAGCAAAACTTCCTTATCTTGGGAATTACCACAATTATATGGTGAGCAGGAGATCTTGGCTGCTGGCTAGAATTCCCAGCCTATGCAGAGTTCCTTTTGAGTATGAATTACTTGCAATGAGCACCAGAAAAGTGCCATAGCAAGCAGCAGAATGACTGTGTCATTGAGCCTGACAGGTACTGTTTATTCCTAAACTAGTTTTATTTTTCAGACTCCAGGCTGGATTTCTGCCCTGTATTTTTTCCCATCCAGCAGGATGTACTGCTCCTGCTGACAGTGGTTATGCCCACGCATGGAAAAACAGTTGCACCAAGCTGAAAAGCGGCAGCACTTCTCCAGCACTTGCTTACGTAGACTTTGCTTGTGTTTTTGGCCAGAACTATCACTTTAAATGGTGCACATTTTAATTCTTTACTAGAAAGGACAGGATGAAGTGGAAACTCAGTCTGACTATTCTACCACAAAGCAACTGATGGAAGCTTCCTACTTTCTTGGTTTAGCTCATGCAGTAACAACCTCTACAACCACCACCTCATCCCTTTCACAGACTCTCACAGTAGGCTTCCAGACACCTCAAATAATGTTTTTTCATGTTTTCTAAACTCCTTTTTTGAAGGTTAATAATTTGTTCACTTCAGAATGTCATGCTTACTTACCCTCCAACTGCTCAGCAGAGACCTGAGAGCCTCAGCAGAGTGCAGCTCTCTGCTGGGACTCTCCTTGCTACTGAAACTCAGCTGGGACAGTTTTAAAAGAAAGATAGAAAGGACCAAAAAAATGCTCCAGAAGCCAGTAAAATTATCAGGCCCTAAAAGAAAGTATCCTGTAAAGAGGAGAACCCGTTTCTGTGTGGGTAATGGCATGGGAAAGTTAGGGGGGAGTTTCTGAAGGAAGGAGGAGCTTGATGGTACAGGTAAAAGGCAGGCTGAGTATTTAGAAGTGTGTGGTTTCTGTCCTCAGCTTTTGGTGTCTTCATCTAATCTTAAAATGTGGCTATCACCTCAAGGAACAGTAAAGCAGGAGTCAAAATCAAGCTCCAGCCGTAACAAGATGGCAAATGTGGCTGCCATCAACCTGAAAGGCAGGTCCTCCTGTTATTTTAGCTAATAATCCATGGCTGGTTGATATAAACACATAAATAAATAAATCAGTAGGCTTTTCCAGCAGCGGTGGTTAGGGTGGGCTGCCCTGCCTTTGGGACCATGTGAGCAGTGATGCTGCTGCTGCACCAGGGTCTGGGTATCTCCCCTGCTGCAGCTGTCACTGGCTCTGTCCTCACCATGCCTGGCTGGTGGCAGCAGCTCTGCCAGGGTCCAGGAGCCAGGCAGGGCCAGTGCCTGTGGATTTGCCACGGGAACCTGCCTGTGGGCTCCTGGGAGGCTGCACAGAGGAGGGGGCTATATTTAATTACACACACTGGCTGAAGCTAAGGTTCAGTTACCTGTGTGTGCAGGGGTTTAAGTTAGCTCACAGCCATCCCAGCATGTGGGCAAACCCAGGCAGAGAGCCTCCAGCGTGGTGCTGTCCTGCCACTTGCAGACTGCTGCAGCTGGAGCTGCAGTTCTGCAATTTTTCTTGCATATGACTTCTTCCATGAGTTAGGCGAGGCTGAATCAATACAACTTTTTTCTTTTGTATTTCAAGGATTATTTACACAACCAAAAGCAAATAAATCTCATCAAGAGGAATCTTATTGCAAAGGGTGAAATCTTTGACTTGTTCAGAGCAGTAAATTCCATGGAACTAAGCCAATATAGGCCAGCTGAGTTTCTGTCCCTTCATATTTAAAGATGCAGGTAAAGACCTGGTCCAGAGCTTTATGATACAAAGATGCCTTATAATAAAAACAGACCAACTCCATACAAATGTTCCCAATATTGAACTTATTTTCATAGTAGACATTAAGGAGAGAGTAGCTCAATATTGGGATTTGAGAAACTTTTATGAGAATTAGACCAAGGAAAAAAATCAGCAAACAACCATTAATGTCCAGGGCTATTTTCAAAACCTCTTTTTCAGTTTTCTCTTCCCTCCTTTTTACAAATGTGAGAACAGTTAACCGCTCAGGAAGAACACTCTATAAATTTGGAAACTTAAAGAATTCCCCTTTTAGACTCAGCCCACATTAAAACAAAGAGTTAGATTTTTTTTTTTTAAATCTAGTGAAGAATAAACATAATATTTTGTGTGACAAAATACAAAACAGGCTTTCCACCCCACATTTCAGTCAGCTGAGATTTTAAATAGCTCTTAAAAAGTGTCATGTAACAACCAGGCTGGCAGTACTGCTGTGCAAAAGGGAAGTCTTTCTGACTTTTTACACAGCATAGCAAGTAAAGAAACCCAGCCCACCAGAGACCAGATCTTACATCCCCTCTGTGGGATGAAAGGACTTTGTTACAGCTACAAGCAGTCTGCACAGTAGTGATCCTGTCAGACAGGGTAAGCCTAATCAGAAATGTCTTCTCCCGTCCAGCCAGCAAAGCTCCCCATCCAGCCAGGGAGACTTTGCCTCATGGGAAAGAATGTCTATGAAACTTGGCATCAGCCTGGTCAGAAGCTTGTGACTCAGCTCCATTTCTCAGCTCTCCTAGCAGCTTGGATAATGCCCTGCCTCCTTCTCCATCTTCCTGTGGTACCACCTCCAGACTTCTGACGCTGAGCCCTTCTGGTCTGAGTTTTTTGTGCATTCATTTCAAAACCCATCTACTTTTTGATGGAGTGACACACTCGCCATCATAATATCTTCAGGGGAAAAAGCAAGCCTGAGTTCAAACAGCCCAGCCTTGACCATTAATAGCTGCACCAAATGCAGTAAGAGCACAGATACTGTGCAGTCTCCAAGTATTTTTAAACGTGCCTAGAAAAGCAGAAGAGACCAGCATCTCCTTCCTACAAAAAGGCATCTGGTAGCTCAGACAGCAAGTGTCTTAGGCTTTTGTCTAAATGTGTTCATGGATAAAGAAGCAACAAGGTGCCTGCCATGCTACAGACACTATCCATAGTGTTGTCCATGCCTGAGAAGCTCTTCAGGCACAAAATTCTCTGCAAGGTTGGAGAAATGCTTCTCAAACCAACAGACATTTTGCCTAGTATAGTGTTTGCCCAGGGCAGTGTTAATAACAGCAGGGGTTTTGTGAGTGTTATTTAAGTTTGTTGTGTTAGAATGTGTTGGGTTGATGAAGAGCAGAGGAACAAAAAGAAGTTTTAAAATTATGAAAACAAACAAACCAACAAAAACTGAAAAGTATCTCCGTGTCTCTGATCTGCACAAATTTTTTTCTGCCTAAGCACAGCATGGAGTGATTTTTTGTTCGCATGACTGAATATCTTCTTAACAACCAGAAGAATATTGTGGCTGGATGAAAACATCTTTTTTGACCAGTTAATTCCATGAGTAACATAATCACAAATGTCCTGTATCCACACATAAACTAGTTTGCTCTTACCTATACATCTGTTGTATATTGGGAAGCTGAAAAAACCAGACCCATGGTCTGGATGTAAATCAAACATCTTTACAAATCTAAGCACTCTGTCCCTATTAAAATTCAACAGGAGTGATATATCAAAAACTTTGCAGATTGCTGTGAAAATTTAGCTTCAGGGAAGTTGACCTCTTTTATAGACACAAGGAGGATTTTTCACTAAAACCTCACTTGAATGTTATTATTACAACTGAAAATCTTCCCATATTCCCAGGAGATGACTGCATTGCATGTTATCCCAGAGAAAAAATTGCAGGACAAACTTGACAAATCCAGACAACATTAAAAGTAAGCGGATGACGATTTTTCTGCTGGGAGAAATCCAGCAAGTTCTAGACTTGTTTACTAGCCCCAGACCAGAACAGCTCATCAAACTGCAGTACTTAAAACCAGAGCTGAAGCTCTAATATTTAAAAGTGTTTTGGAAACAGTCTGTGTACACTGAAAACATTGGACTGGATTCAAAAGTAGCATTTGAGACTGCCATCTCGTAATTAAAACAATGTACTCCTAGATGCTTGCTTCAATTGATACCTTAAGCATATCTTGAATTTGTTTAGAGAGATAGAAAACTTTCCTCGTAATTAATTTTCACTTATTTGAATGTCTAAACAATTTCACAGGCTCTTGTTTCCTCCTGATTAATTTGACTTATAAATGCTGAAGATTGGGGTACAGTTTATGTTAATGTCTTCCAGATTTTTGGCTGCATGATTCTATAAATTCTGTGCTGATACTGAATGGAAATTTCAGTGTTTGAATCACTTTAATTTGGTGAAATTTTTAATAGAAGCTTGTGGAGAGGAAAAGAAATATCCCCACCTTATTTAAAGGTGTTGAAGATTTTTACAATGACTTTCCTTTAAAAGCCAACATCCCAGTTTCCTATAGAAAATGCAGAGTTTCAAAACTTTTAAAGGAAATTCATAAAGGAATATCAAATGGCTTTCATTGAACCTAAACTTTTAAAGAATATTCTACTGGTAAGGAAAATATAATTGAAAATAAAATTAATGTGAAGTTATATATTCATAAAGTCTGTATGCAATGGCTTTAGAGACACTGATGACCATCTGACACCATGTGTGTAGGACCTCAGGCAAGCCACCATGTTTTCCACTGTTGCAAAGTAACTCAGTGTGTTATGAAAAGTAAACAGATTTATTCCAAAAAATACTTATATTGTCCTTGGTGCTGTCTTAGAAGCGGCTCATCAGTGATGTAATTTTTACCTCTCATGTGTGATACAATATTGTTTGTTCATTTCTTTTCTATTTCAGGGTCTTTTTGGGCACTGTTGAAAAGAAGTACTATGGCATTTTTCTACAGTAGAAGTAAAGAAAAAATAATTATAATTTAAAACTAATTTGACTGAGGGCTTCTTGCTGTTCTGAGACTATCACAGTGGCTGAATAGAGTGATCTGGAAAAATCCTGACATTATTCTAGAGACTGTGTCCAGAGCCAGGGATAGCCATGCTTTCAGAAACAGCCTCTGTCTGCAGAACTGGGTAGACACCACACTGGAAATCATCAGCTACAAGGTCTAGCTGGGGTTCATGACAGATAAGCAACATTCACCTTTCAAATCTACAGCAAGAAAAGCTGGAAAGCTTTGAAGAAAGGCTATGAATGAGACATTGTTAAAATCAGTAGCAGTTTTCTACATACATTCTGGTAATTTAGGTTTTGAAAAATCTTGAGAGGGTAAAAGGGAAAGGCAAGAAGACACAGGACTTGAGAGCAGAAGAGAATGTAATTTACTGAAAAGCTTAATAAAGTGAAAAAAAAATTATTTAAAAAAGAGAAAATGTTCTATGAACTGCAAAATTCCTGATCCATAAATTCATATCAATATTTGGTGTAAAGGGGTTTGATGTAAACAAAACTTGAGGAAAACTCTCCCCAGTTTGGTGTGTCTTCTGACTCCACTGAAGCGTGCCACAGGTGCCCTGTAAATACCTTCCCACAGCCATGTGCTGCCCATAGTGTGTGGCAGTTGAGGTCTCCCTTCTCTGAGTCTCTCTCCTCTGCTCAGGCCAATTTTTCATCAAGCCTGCAAGAAATCTCTTCTTTGAGATTTCTACATTCTTTCAGACTTGTTTGAAATCAGGAAACAATTCCAAATGTGTTGGATAAGAGAAGGTAGTGGGCAAAAGAAGATCACAACTCTTATCACTGCAGGATCCAGACACAAAGCAAGGCTCACTTGATGACCATGTGGACATGTGTATACCTTCACTAAGAACAGGTACTAAGAGTGCTCTTTAATCTGAAAAAAGCACAACATCTTTTTAACCTGAAAACTTGGCCAAATTCAAGGCAGAAAGGTTAACAAGTGAATGCAATAATTTGTCATGTGAGCAAGTCACTGAAGAGGTTATTCTACATCTCTCTCATATTCAACACTAGATGCTGATTTGAAAAAGACTTATTTTACCCAAAGTGGATGAAATATGATGGTATAATAAAGATGGGGCAGCCAGTGGACCCTAAGGTCTTAAGATCTGTGAACCATTCTGCATTAGTTATGGATGCTGTCATGCAGTAGGTTGGTGTTAGCAAGAACTCTGTGAGTAGTCCCAAAAGCTGGGTTGGGTGGGCATGCTGTGAGCATGGGCCGTCAAACAGCAGAGACTGCAAACTCTCCAAAACTATTTTCTTTGCAGCAGCAGACCAAGAACCACCCTGCTTGGGCTCTTTACTAAAAACCCCTATAATCCATCAATTACATGTGTAAGCACAGCTCACAGTATGCCACTGGAAGTGATTGCTATTCCTATCCATAAATGCTGCCTTCCACTTTTTGTTCTGGAGTGCTGTGGCCCTTCACAAGTGCTCAGCAGTGTGATGAGGCAGGTGAGAGCTGCAAGCACCAGACACAGCAAAGCTGTGTGGCAGCCTGTGCCAGGCATGGTGCAGGATCACCCTGTGTCCTCAAACAAGTGCTGCCTTAGCAGGAACTCTGGGAAAGTAAGCACATTTGGAGCGTTCTGGCTATTTCAGACAACACTTGCCCCTTTTTAAGAAGCTGTGAGTCTGCAAAGTGTTCAAGACCTCATTCTGGGCTGTTGCTAGACATGGTGCCTGATTCCCATTGCCCACTCTGCCTGGGAACACTTCTGAGATTCCAACTCAGATGGACAAGTTCCAGCCTCCAAGGCTCCATCTTCTCCACCACATGCCTTCTCAAGGATCCAATGAATCCTGACCTTACTTGGCTTGGGAGCATTTACTGCAGCAGACACAAACAGAGTTGCTGTAAGTGGAACACTTCCTCTGGGAGTGTGTCCTCCCTCCATGCTGAGTCTCAGGGGCCAGGCTCAGTCACTGCTGGCTTGGGCAGGCTGACAGCAAGGAGTGTCCCACCACAGCCATCCACAGAGCAGGGCTGGGGGGGAACCTCGTGCTCTGTAGTGACAGCACTGCAGCAAAATGCATCTGGCAGAAGGAGACAACTTGCAAAAAACTAAGGTGAGAAGAATTGAGTGTTGGCAACCTTAACAAGCTGGATTTCCAAAATGGACTGGAAGGATTTGGCAGAACTCAAATTACATTTTTAAACAGTTACTGTAAGTGTAAATGTTATTTTATCCACCCCCGTGAACTGATCATCCTGGCCAGCCACCAGGCAACCACACCCAAGCTGTTACTTTTACAGCTGCAGAGATGGGGGTCAAGATTGTCTATATTCTGTGTAACTCAAAACTTATTATTAAAGTAATTCATTTGCAAATAAATCATCCTTGTTATGAAGCTCCAAGTAAAAGGAATAAAATAAGAGCTTGTGAGCTTGAGATCATTTGCTGAACGCAAATCCTCCTCCCTTTCCTGAACACATTTAAACCCTTAACAAGAATTTGGTCACCAAGGGAGCTCCTTATTTCATTAAAATCTGGGGAAGTTGACACAGGAATCATTAAAGAAAAAAAAAAACCATAACAAAAATATCCCAAAACAAATCACAAGGTTTATCAGGTAATGGCTCTTCACAGGAGAACATAAAAGGTATTGCATCACTCAAAGGTCTAACACTGAGCCAGAACATCACTGAGAACGTGATTTTTAATTAATTCAGCATTACTTCAATCAGAACATGAGAATGTGAGCCTGGTCCCAGGTGAGCCAGTATAAAGCCTCACTAACTTCAATGGAGGCAGAATCTCACTGCTGTGGAAAGTTTGAGAACAATCACATGATGCCTGAGAGGAAACAAGTGCCTGTTGTCTGTAGCCCTTTACATGATCCAGCTCTAAACACTTAGGGCTCCAGTTCAGCACTTGTTCAGCACCTCACACCAGCCTGTTCAAAAGTTTTCTTTTTCTGGTGATGCTTTTCGGGTTTTTTTAATTGTACCCTTTTTTCTTCTTACAGGGTCAGGTGTGAAAGCTGTTTCTGTATTTTTATGTATAACATACTTTTGCATGTTTTGGTATAACACATTTTCTTTTTGTTTTAAGGTAAAAATTTTAGGTTTGTTTACTTCTGCAAGTCTGCACTTGGTTATTCTTCCAGTACTTTCTTCCATGATTCTGTAAGATACTGGATATTCATGAGAACCACAAGCAGATTTAATGTTAATCAAACCTGGCCTTCAAGATTCATGACATCTTTAAACAAAACAAATAAAGGAATAAGTTGTTATTAAGCATAATGTTATTTTGTGCTTGCTAAAATATCCACAAATATACATAAAGATTAGTCAGCTTTCATGTGACGAATTAAAGCCACAGGATGGCCTTTAAAGTGATACCACATCCATAAAAATATTATGCTGAAGTGGAAACAGCCAGGGACAGGCTTTTGTCTTTAGGGTATAGAGAATTCTGAAAGAAATTTCCACAGGAAATTTCCACATATTTCCCTGATTTTAAATAAGCATTCCTTATGTGCCTTCTCTGGCTCTGTATTTTAGGGCCTCTAGCACTAAAATACAGGGCCAGAGGTCCAGCCACCTACTTGCTGCTGTGGCTACAGCCCACACCTTGACCAGTATCTAAGCTGAAATATTTTGTATATTTTGTTTTTATTTTCACAACTATTATATACTTAGACACACTTTTTATAATAACTACTAGAAAATAATTTATTAAGTTTGCTTACATTCTTTACTGCCTACAAAAGCATAAAGTTCTTTATGGATGTTTCTAAAAATGCTGTGATTCTTCTCAATATGTAGTTATACGGCCTGTAAAATTAAACTGATTTTTTCTACAGGAAGATTATATTTTCAGTACTTTTTCCATTCCTTTCTACTAACATTTTAACACCAAAAAATTATATTTTTATATATTTATGTTGTCAATATCTTGAAGTCATTATGTTTTCTGAATCCTAAACTAAAGAGGATTGAGTGCAAGCAGCCAATGTATTTTTGAATGCTACACATTAAGCCCCACCACTTTTTTCCTGCCTGTGGTCTACATGAGTTAGATCTTGGGTCCCTTGAGACAGCACCCAGATCTTGCAAATGCCTTTCCCAAAGGAACACTGTAAGTTCCTGCTCAGAAATCTTTTAGTAGCTTACAGGAGAGAAACAATAAGCCATCTGTCACGCAAAGTCTGTGCTGTTACAGCCAAAGGGAGAACTGAATGAAAAAACCATTGTCACACAGAGCGAACGGTCAGTAATGTACAATGTGATTTTCCTCCACCTTCCCTTCTCCTTCCCTCTGTGGGACCTACCTCAGCCATCTACGGAGCACAACTGTGGCAACCACCTGTGAGGAGACCATTTCCACCACCAGCTGTCCTGCCACTGAAACTCTTGCAGCACTGTCCACCCTTCATCTGGAAATTACCTCATCCTTCACCAACACAGGTCTAGTTGTGAGAGGCTTGGGATCCCGGCAGTGATGCTCCATGGTTGGGCCAGGAAATCACCTCCTTCTATGAGTCTCGGGATAAAATAATCCAGTAGTACCTGCAGAGTTGGTACTCACTGCTCCTCCCCCATTTTTAGGTCTTCAAATATGTAAAAATCAAAGTGACACAGTAATTTTGCACTTCAGAGAGTGACATGCCAGGCAAAGAACACACATGAGATTTTGTGGGGGGAAAAGTATCAATGGTCTCTTATTCACGCATCTTCCAAAAAACAGCACCACCAAAACAAAGGCACAACTGTTCCCACAGGATAAAGAGAGCATTGATAGCACTCCTAAAAACAAGCTAGTGCACTCTTGACATTCCTGTCTTGTTGAATCTTCACTAAACTGCCACAACTGCTCGATTTCAATTTGTCATGATCACCAACTAAAATTGCCATTAGAGCAAAGGAAGTGAATGCTTGGGAAACGCATGTCTCCATGCACAACCAAGAGCACCTGAGGAGGTATTAGAAGAACAGCAGGGCAAATATAAAGTAGAGATTCCAAGAAAATTATCTATTGCATCTGACTAATACTTTTTCAATAATATTACTTTTTTGGTCTTAACAGAAGTCCGTAGCACTCTGCCCAACATTTAAGTTACTGATGCACACACAAAGGCAGTATCACAAGAAGTCACATGGGAACAAGTACCAGACAGGACAAATCCTGCTGCCCAGGCAAAGTTAGAAACACAAGTGAAAAAATATTTAAACAATATTTGTTATTATATTCCTTCCTGTAATTTTGACAGGGCTCTAAATATGACGCCAAGGGGCGACACATGTGAGTGAATATCTGGGTGGTTACAGTTCTGCTAAAACAAATTATAGTTATTTTTCTAAGTTTTCAGTAAACCAAAAGAAATCATTTCATTGAGGAAGATGAAATATTTGTGGTCAAATTTGCAAAGCATTTGGAACCAAAGTAATATTTAGTTTTAAAGATTATATAAATCTTTAGTTATATTTTATGATATTTTTAAGGTGATACAGAGGCTTCTAAAACTATTACCTGTCTTCCCCCAATAGAAATAATTTGCTGTGATAAACCCTTTTTTCTAAAGCATATTAAATTTCTGCCTAGGTTCACGAAGGGATTCTGAACTAAAACATTTCACTCAACCCTTACTCTCTCAATCTTGTTTAGACTGGGATTTGTTAATCTAAAGGAAGAGCACTGGTATAGTCTTGTTGTGTTATCAGCCAACATTGTACAGAAAAATGCATGTTGTTTTCCAAAAAAATAACTGTAACAAGCACTCAGGGAAAGCACCATCACTATATGAAATATGAAGGGTGAAAAAAGAGAGATAGCTTTTTCCTAATCTACTGGAATGCTGCAAACTGAGATGTATAGGGCTGCTTTCCAAGTACTCAGAGCAAGAACACTGCCAAGTTTATCCCATGGAGGTGAAACACCCCAGCATGATAAATATGACAGTAATTTTGTTGCCTTTATTGAGAGGACTGCCTGTGAGCTTATAGAAAAATTTGTATCGGGCAACATCTATGAAGCTGTTCATTCTGCCTGCAGTTCTTAAAGCAAAATTCATTGGGTTTTCTTTACACTAAACTACAAGTAGTATATTTCCAATTTTAGCTTTCAGGGCCAGGAACAGTTTTCCATACAGTTACACTGAAGCTGCTCGGCATGAAAAATGTGAACAGAAGAAAGGATGTGTCCCTCTGAACAGATACAGTGCCAAAGAAGGGTCCAAAGAACAACACAGCAATAAAACATTTTGAAAGAAAAAATAATTTCTAAAACATGGAATTGGAGTTACTATTTAAAAATACAGCAGCAAGCTTCAACAAAGGTGAAAAATTGCAACTGATTTCAGATCCTGAAAGCTGATAAAAACATTCTGCATAGACACAGGTCATGGTCACAAGACAAATAGTGGTGACTCCTAAAGAGATGCAGAATATTAAACATCAATATTTATTAGTAGTAAATAATGTTTTGTGATTTGCCTTTATTTTAATAAACTCCAGAATATGCCTCCAAGTGGCTCTTTTTATTTAACTTGTGCATCACCTTGTACTACCTAGTATAGTTTGTACTTATAACATTTCTTTTCAATGAATGCAAAAAAAAGGGACAGATGTTTCTTATTTTGCTCTATATGCATGACAACATAGAAATCTGGCACTGAGTCATTCTTGAAGTAGATTTACCACATGTCCCAGTCACAAAACAGCAACACATAGTATAATGTTTCTGGAAAGAATCTTGCTGCAATGAAGTGGATCACAGAAAGTTTGCAATCTCTGAATTCTACCCAGAATATAAAACACCAGAAATTCCCATGATTAAGTATTTGAAACTGGAAACAATTCACAAGCCAGGATGGAGGTGAAGAGGAGGGGGTGGAAGTTAGTTGTAGCTTACAGGAAAATGCATCCCTGTTCAAAAATCACTACACACTGCTGACCACAACAAATTTTTACAATCACGCAGAACATCTTTCGCAATCTGTGAAATATATCCAGTGAACTTACTATTTGGAGAAGATGTTAATAAATTCATAAATCAAAAGGACTAGCACAAATATCCAATTTGATATGCCTTACTACACAGCTGAGAAGGCTTCCCTGCATTAATGCCACTTTAAACTAAACACATCCATTTTAGTTAAAAATCAACTGGTGGTTTCAAAAACTCCCAGTGATGAGGAATGTACTATAAAACTCGTTAGGTCACCTAGTTAACAGCCTGCTATATGCCACAGGGTGTGTGTCAAGGCCTGAGGGTTTTGTTTTCCAGGGAAGTGCTTATAATCTTCATGTTCCTTTCATCCCCCATTTCAAAAGCTGAGCAGCTTGGTCAGAATCTTTCTGGACACACACACACCTTCACTCCTGGACTAAAATTTCTCTCACACCAATGACATCCTTGCCCTGGACAGAAACCCCCAGAGCATTCCCTGAATCCACATTCCAAAAGCCCCATTAGTGCTTCTGGCCACACTGCCACTGTGGGAGTGCATGAGTAAATAAATAAAACAGAAGTATCCCTTGTCCTTTTCCCAGTTGTTGTTCATAAGCTCCAGCATGTTTCCTGCACATTCACAGACCACTTTTCCCAAGAGACAAGGAGCTGAGGAGCACACCAGCCTGTCCAGGGCAGCATGTGTGCTGACAAAACATCTGCTCCCACCTTGCTTGACCATATGGCCCTGGAAAAGTCACCCTAAGCCTTGGCAACCCATTTCGTCCCACTTTAAAGACAAAACCTGGGGATTCACAGCAGGAACAAGGACAGTGGAGTGACTTGTGCTGTCCAGGTAAGTGAGCAAGTCAGGGCAGTGTGAAGTGCTCAGGATGGCACTGCCTGGAGGGGTGCCTGGCCAACCGCTGGCACTGACTCACAGGGTGCTGCCCCACCTGTAAGGCTTCAAGAAGATGCTTCTGGTTCTTCCTTCAGGGGAAAGATCTAGCAATTAGGAGCGGGGCACCACCTGCTGGGGCTGCTCCAAGCACAGCTCTGCCCAAGAAGGAAGCTTCACCAGGTTTCACAGGCTACTGGGAAGTTTCACGTGCTGTGTCACTAAATATAAATTTTCTTCTGAACCTGATTTTGCTCTCAACCTTTCAGGAAACTCATGTTAGGAATAGGAAAGAAATTATCAAACAGTTGAAAAAAATGAGAAATATAGACAAACAGAATAGTGATAGAGGGAGAGAAAACCAGCATTTTTACATGGTTTCTGGATGATGGATCTACCACAGGGAAGCTGCCAGGCATGTTTAATTTTTCCTCTTCTTTTACACATCTTCCCTTTTGTCTTTCCCATGTAGAGTGACATCTTTTTTGTAATTTGTAATGATACCTATCTACATATTCTGTAATAATATGTACTTTTGTAGTTTGTTTTATATAAAGCTATTTTGCATATTACAGCCAAAGTCCACCAAGATACAAATGAATAGAAGCCCTTTAGACACACTTAAAATCCTCCAGACTTCCTACTACAGAAATAAAGGAAACCAGTGGTATCAACAACCAGAACAAAGCTGCAACAGGATGTAGGATGACATTTCCTAAAAGTCAACAGCCATCCTCAGGATCAGTGCAACACTTTGTCCATTCCTCATCTGTGGCAGGCTCCAGAGGAGATGGTGAGAGCAAATGCATGTCCTTGGGGCTGTTCATTATCAAACATCTGGAATGCTAATGTGAACACCTTGCATTTATTCATGCTTTGTCTTTAAAGACTTTTGCCAGCATTGCTAATAATGCTACTGCTCACAGAGCTTTTGTAAGGATTAATCTGCTGTGGTCACTAGAGTCCACTGCTCTTTACCACAGTCATGTAATAACATACTTGCTGTACTCACCAAAACAAACAAACAAAACAACAAATCATGAAAAAGAAGACAGCTTCAGTACATTAACATCTGCTTACAGAAATCCAGTGATTTTTTCCTCCCTATGTTCTGGTGATGACATGTAGCCACATGCTACAGAGTCCTAAAAACCACATCTGCTCTAATCTTCATATGCCCATCATCACATCTGCCAATCTACCATTTCTTCTCTATCATGAGGGCACTTTCCGTGTAAGCTGATGTACCAAGCAGTACCTCTTCTGGCAACCCTGTGAGCACTTCTTTCCCCTGAGTATGGTTCCCCCCGTCCTCTGAGCCTCTTCCAGAGGTCTATGGAAAGACAGCAGCTTGCTGTCACTTTGTTTTCTAATTGTAACAGAGAATCCAAGCTTTGGCCTGACAAGTCCATAAGGAAAGGCTAGCTTTTTCAAATCCTCATGAGTTACTTGGTGTGCAGCACTGGTGCATAAAGAAACAGGTTGGCATTGGTCTCTAAATTAAAGTTCCCTGCCCTTCTCCCCATTTCTGTCTTATCAACATCCCTCACTACACTCCACGTATTCCTCCTCCTCACCCTTTTTTTGGCATAAAGACCATTTCTCCTCCTTCAGGGATGAAAATTGATGGCTTTTACCTGAGAGTTAGTCCTTCACTTCAGTGCTTGGTGGTAGTCCCTCTTCTTTTCCAGTCTCTTTCCCAGCCCTTCCCCAATGCCTTCAGCCCCCTCCCCAGTTTCTAAGAAACACAAGGGATAGAGAGACCACAGCCCAGCATCATCCCTGGCTCCTCTGGAAAGGAAGCAAAGCTCCTACTTCATGCAGTTCCTA